GCCAGGAGCAGCCACTGCACTCCAGTCTAGGCGACAGAGTGAGACTCCAACTCAAAAAAATATATATATATAGTCTAATATGAAAAGGCAGCTGAAAATTTGGCAGAAATATGCATTTAAAATAACACATGCACTGGGTGCAGCAACTCACACCTGTAACTCCAGCACTCTGGGAGCCAGCACTCTGGGAGGCTGAGGCGGGAAGACTGCTTGAGGTCAGGCATTTGAGACCAACATAGGCAACATAGTGAGACCTCATCTCTACAAAAATAAATACATAAATAAATAAACTGGGTGTAGCGGCATGTGCCTGTAGCCCCAGCTACTCAGGAGGTAGAGGCGGAAGGATTGCCTAAACCCAGGAGGTCAAGGCTATAGTAAGCAAAGCTGTGATCTATCGTGCCATTGCACTACAAGCTTGGGTGACAGAGTGAGATCCTGACTCAAAAATAAAGTAAAATAAAATACACATGCTATGGAGAGGGAAAGGCAAGTTTACTTACTCGGAACGACTTCCTGATACAGTTAATTGTGCAAAGTTTTTCACTTTCTCTCGAACAACTTGTATTCCACGTTCATCGGATGCATTTAACTCAAGAACTCTTAATCGAAAAAGTTCAGGCCTATGTCAAAGTGAAACAAAAAAACATTATAGAGCATAAAAATAACAGGATTAAATAACATTTTAACATTTGCACACTTTGCAGTAGTTTGAAATCCACCTAGTTAACAGTATGGATATAAGGCATACAATCACTTTAATATTGTCTCTTTTGTAGAAGAGAACATTTGTTATTTTTTTGCATGTATTAAAAAAAGTACCTATTACATTGCTATGTACCTATTACATAACAAAACTAAATCAATTTTCCACTTTGCATTTATAATAAACATCTTGGAATATTATCAAAACCATTATAGGCTGGGTGCACACCTGTAGTCCCAGCACTCTGGGAGGCTGAGGCAGGAGGACTGCTTGAGCCAAGGAGTTAAAGACCAGCCTAGACAACTTAGGGAGACCTTGTCTCTACAAAAAAATTAAAAAAAAATTAGCTGGGTGTGGTGGAACACGCCTGTAGTCCCAGCTACTCTGGAGGCTGAGGTGGAAGGACTGCCTGAGTCCATGAGGTCAAGGCTGTAATGTGCTATGATCATGCCACTGCACTGCAGCCTTGGCACCAGAGTGAGACCCTGACCAAAAAAAAAGACATTTTAATGATTATATAATAGTCCACCCTACATTATTTACTTACTTAATTTACTTAACATTCCTCTGTTGTCACCTACCTAAGTTTTAAGTGTTACAATTTAAGTAATGTTACAATATAGGATATTTTGAATTATTTCCATAGAGTAGCTTGCTATAAAGAAAAATACAGGATTGAAATATGAACCACTTTTTTTTTGAGTTGTGAATCTCACTCCGTCGCCCAGACTGGAGTGCAGTGGTCACTTCCGGCCACCGCAGCCTCGACCTGCTGGGCTCCGGCGATCCTTCCGCCTCAGCCTTCCAAGTAGCCGGAATTACAGGCATGTGCTACCTCGCCCAGCTGATTTTTTGATTTACTGTAGAGATGAGGTCTCGCTGCCCAGGCAGGTCTCGAACCCGGGGGCTCAGGCAATCCACTCACCTCAGCCTCCCAAAGGTGCGGGATTACAGGCTGAGCCACTGAGCCCGGCTTGAACCACTTTTTAAAGCAAGCTATTTATTTATTTTAGCTACAAAAAATTTTTAAAATTAAAAAAAATTTTTTTCCCTTTATTATAAAGATGTGGGGTACAAGTCAGGATTAGGTATGTAAGTAGTCTACATGCAGGTGAAGTTCGGGCCTCCAACTAGTCCTCACTTCCCTGATTTAAGATTAGGTACCCAGGCAACCCCACTGGGTCCCCTCCCACTGTGGGAACTTTTCCATGTTCTCAATAAATCCTGCTTTCTCAAAAAAAAAAAAAAAGAGAGAGATCAGGTACCCTTTGTGATGTTATGTGCCTCCTTTGGCAGTGTTTCACTACTACCAATTTCCCTCCTGTGGTACTGTGACAAGTGTTCAGGACCCACTTATTGCTTTTTAAAAATTTTTATTTTTTAATTTTTTTTCAGGATCCACTTATAAGCGAGAGCATGTAGTATTCAGTTATTTGTTTCTGTAATAGATTGCTAAGTATGATGGACTCTTAAATCTATCCAAGTTGCTGTGAACTCCATAATTTTGTCTTCTTTAGCTGTGAAAGTAAGCTTTTTAAAAAGTTACTGAAGTAATATATGCTTACTGTAGAGGAATCTGAGAATTAAAAAGAAAATAAAAACAAGTGGCACATTCTATCAAAGCACTATTTTGAAGCTTCCTTCTAGTCTTTTTTCTACATATACATATATATATATATTTTTTTAAATGAAAAAGCTGCGACTTAGTTTTGTCTTTATTTTTCCTAATTAGCATTATAGGCTGAGCATTTTCCTATGGGCATAAACACTGAGGAAACTCAGTGCATGTATTTTCTATTTTAAAAACACATATACTATTAAATATAAAATTTACTGTTAAAGTAAGTTCTTTTAGTCCTTTAAGGGCAAACATTATTTTATAAAGGACATAGAAAAAGTTATATAATCTGGACTGTCTTACTTCAGGATAAGCAATAATAAAAGATTTAACAGTTTCATTATGACTACATTGTTAAGGCTCATTCAGTTTGGTTCTGAGTTACAGACTATTCATCAAAGCTCTTTTACAATTTTTTGAAAAAGTTGTTTTCAAATAAATAAAATATTTAGCTCACACAGCTTCTCCCTTTGCCTTCTTTTACATTTTGACATAACTATCCTTACACATTTGGTGGTTTCAGAGGCATCTAAATATTTTCATATATAGGATTTTAGATGTTCCCTTTGGCTATATGCCTGATATAAAAATTCTGGATACATTCTAGATAGTTTTTGCTATACTAGTACTGTTCCATGTATCAGATCCAGGCCACTATATATTTTTTTCACTCTAGGTGAAGGGCTCCTCTGAATGGTTAGTCAGTCTGGGAAGAGGAGTCTAAGAAGCTGGCTCATAGGGAGATTTTCTGATGTACCTGGAATCATACTGCATCGACTTCCACCCACTCTGTTTACACTCAGGAGACCTGAGAGCAAGGAGGTCTCCTGGCCTGGCCACTCCAGAGGCAGGGCCTAGGAAGTCCAGAGCAAAAGGAACTCAAGAAGGAATGGTGCAGATAGTACTGCAGGTACAACACAGTCCATCATATAGCCATACAGATGTGACCACAATCATTAAGAAGGTGAAAAAACTAGCAGCACAGGCCAGGCATGGTGGCTCATGCCTGTAATTCCAGCACTTTGGAAGGTGGAGGCGAGAGGACTGTCTGAGCCCAGGGGTTCGAGACCAGCCTGGGCAATTTGGTAAGACCTTGTCTCTACAATAAATCAGAAAATTAGCAAAGTGTGGTAGTACGCCCCTGTAGTTCCAGCTACATGGAAGGCTAAGGTGGAAGGATTGCCCAAGCCCAGCAGATCTAGGCTGTGGTGGCCCTGAGTGTGCCACTGTACTCCAGCCTGTGTGACAGACAGAGTGAGACTCCTACTCAAATCAAAAACAAAAACAAAAACAAAACTAGCACAACTGGAGATAAGCTGCACTCTCTGGGCTCTAAAATCATAACAGAAATTTAAAGTGATGAAAAAAAATCACAGTATGTTCAAACACTTGAACACAATTCGAATGAAGGTTATAAAAGATGTAAGCAAGCTAACTCATGGGGGAGAGGGAGGAAGGAAAGAGCTTATAGGATTGTTAAAATTGAGAAATAAAAAGAAACCTAACAGGCTGGGCACAGTGGCTCATGCCTGTAATCCCAGTATTTTGGAAGGCTGATGTTGGAGGATTGCTTGAGCCCAGGAGCTGAAAATCTGCCTAGGCAATATAGTGAGATCTCATCTCTATAACATAGCAAAAAATTAGCCAGGTATAATGGTGTGTGCCTGTAGTCCCAGTTACTCGGGAGGCTGAGGAGGAAGGATTGCCTGAGCCCAGGAGGCTGAGATGAGCCGTGATCTGTGCCACTGCACTCCAGCCTGGGCAAAAGAGTGAGACCCCCAAATAAGCAACAACAACAACAACAACAACCAACCGCCAGGAGCGGTGGTTCATGCCTGTAATCCCAGCACTTTGGGAGGCAGAGGCAAGAGGATTGCCTGAGCCCACGGGCTTGAGACCAGCCTGGACAACTTGGCAAGAGCTCGTCTCAACAATAAATCAAAAATTAGCAGGACATGGTGGTGCAAGCCCGCATTTCCAGTTACTTGGAAGGCTGAGGCAGAAGGATTGCTTAAGACCAGCAGGTCAAAGCTGCGGTGGCCATGAGTATGCCACTGCACTCCAGTTTGGGCGAAAGAGTGAGATGTCGACTCAAAAACAAAACAAAACAGACAAAAAAAAAATCAAACAACCTAACAACCTCAAATAGAAACCAAATGCAATGTAAATTTTTAGAGGAAAAAAACATATCAGAGAATTTGGGGGAAGGGAGAGAAAGAGAAATTGATTTCAACATACCCAAAAAGTTCTCTAGCTGCTGCCAAAATAGTGGATGTTTTTCCAGTTCCAGGTGGTCCATAAAACAAGAGATTAGGGAGCTGTAGAAATTAAATTTTTAAAATAAATTGTATTCTGACACAAATAGATGAAAATGATGACTGAAAAAATGTCTGTGAAACAGTATAATGACTTCCCTGATAGAGATGGTACATATGTCTAACTATAAAGATTTCTTGGGAAAGGAGACAGAGGGTGGTGGGGGAGAAAAAAAATTCTGTTTAATATAACGGATATCATAGTATTGGCAGTTCTAAATCTTGCTTTTTCAAATACTATATTTTTTCCCAAAATGTCTTTTTAATCTCTTAACTGAACCAATATTTATGCTTACTCTACAGCTAACCTACTTTAGGTGAAATTTTCAAAGCTACAAGTAGAAACCTCTTATTTTCGAGGGGAATATCAGGTTTTCGTTAGTCCCCTGTCCCAACCCTACACTCAAGATTGGGTGATATTTTTTTTGAGTTGGAGTCTCACTGTGTTGCCCAGACTGGAGTGCAGTGGCCGCTTCCAGGCACCACAGTCTCGACCTGCTGGGCTCCGGCGATCCTTCCACCTCAGCCTTCCAAGTAGCTGGAACTACAGGTGGGCGCTACCACACCCGGCTAATTTTTTGATTTATTATAGAGATGAGGTCTCACCAAGTTGCCCAGGCGGGTCTCGAACCCGCGGGCTCAGGCAATCCACTCACCTCAGCCTCCCAAGGCGCGGGATTACAGGCTGAGCCACCGAGCCCGGTTGGGTGATATTTTATATTAGATAAAGATGTCAGCTGCTTCAAAAGGGAAACAGAGCAGTAATGAGATTTAGCCTATATTGAGGAAAAAGAACTGAAAGAGACCTTATTAGGGTTCTGAATGAACTGAAGTTCCAAGAACAGAAATAATAACAAAAAAAGAACCCCAAACTAAACATAGGTACTAGGCATTGTTCCACATCATGATTATATACTCTCGACAGACACTAGCAGTTATCAGGAAGAATTCATTAGAAGATAGAAGATGATTAAAAACTAGCTATCTTCTCTTATATCTTACATCTAGTTGTCTGGTTCTTGTCAAGCAGGCAACTGACCTGCGGTAAAGACTAAATGTATCAAATTCTAATGAGCTCTATTATGAAGCTGTACATTCTTCAATATGTCGTTTCCCATACAAAAATCATTATACACAGGAAATGAAGCAATAGAGATTATTTGCTTTCATTTTTGCCTAACCCTTCCTGTTCCTGTCTATTCATCAGCTTGCTACTTTAAAACTATTCACTGGTTTCACACTCCACTTGTAAGAACAAAAACCAACAATACAATTCAACCTGTTTACCATGGTCTAAGAGAATCTTCCATCAGCTGCTCACCACCTCCTTCACCTTCTAGGTTTTAGCTTACAATGGACTCTAACAACCAAGCATATGTTGTTCTGAACATATGTTGTTTCCGTGACCTGGAGTCCAATCCTTTCTTTTCTGCCTGGAAATGCATTACAAGTCAAAACCTTCCCTGACCATCCAATCTAAAGTAGGCCTCCTCTCTTGTTGTCTCATTAGTCTTTGTTTCACTATTGTTATTTATTTATTTTTATTTTTAATTTTTTTTTTTGAGTCAGAGTCTCACTGTCACCCAGGCTGAAGTGCAGTGGCATACTCACGGCCACCGCAGCCTCAACCTGCTGAGCTCAGGCGATCCTGCTGCCTCAGACTTCCAAGTAGCTGGAACTATAGGTATGCGCTACCATGCCCGGTTAATTAAAGAGACGAGGTCTTGCCAAGTTGCCCAGGCTGGTCTCGAACCCCTGGGCTAAGGCAATCCTCTCACCTCTGCCTCCTAGAGTGCTGGGATTATAGGTGTGAGCCACCATGGCCAGCTTATTGTTATTTATTTAACTGTTAGGTTTAATTGTAAAATTAAATCTGTCCATCTCACTAGATGGTAAGATTTAAAAGACCAAGATCCTTATTTGTCCTATTTACATCTGTATCTAGCATCTACTACAGTACTCAAAATTTGCCAACTAAATGAATAAACCAATACACAGACAAATATATTAATTAGAAGACTATCACTGTTACACTGATAACATATAGTTTATGATACAAACTACTGACAGGGTGTGGTGGCTCATGCCTGTAATCCCAGCACTTTGGGAGACCAAGGCAGGATATTATTTGATCCCAGGAATCTGAGACCAGCCTAGGCAATATAGTGAGATTTTATCTCCATAAAAAATTAGCCAGACATAGTGGCATGTGCCTGTAAGTCCCAGCTACTCGGGAGGCAGAGGTGAGTCTACAGTATGGCATGATAGTGCCACTGTACTACAATATGGGTGATAGAGTGAAACCAATGAGACTCAGACTTAAAAAAAAAAAGACAAATCATACTTAAAAACAAAAGCCAAAAGGTGTCTTAATTTTTAAGGTTTATAACTATAATTTTGATCTGTGCATACCTCAACATTTGTAATGATTCACCTCAGCAACATCAAATATAATAATTAAATTCTTTAAAATAGGGTAAAATTATTAAACTTTACATCATATAACAGCCTGATACATGTAGTATATTCAAGAACTACATGTGAAATGCAAGTTCTTATAAACCAATTTCTGAAAAAAATTTTATTATAGTTCTTTAAAACCTTTTAAAGGGCCATTGCCTTACTAGACTCTGGTGTGGCCATGTGCTCTTTGAGCTATGGCTTTTACCAAGTTTTCCTAAGCTTTGACCCCCCCCCCAGGGAGGTGAATCCCACCCCCCAAATTACTTTCTAAATAAACAATATTTTCTAATCTCAAAAAAAGCCTTTTAAAGTAGGCTGGGAATGGTGGCTCATGCTTGTAATGCCAGCACTTTGGGAGACAGAGGCAGTAGGATCACTTGGGGCCAGGCATTCCAAACCAGCCTGGGCAACATAGCAAGACCCTATCTCTTAAAAAAAA